GGTTTTATTTTAATTCTTTTTTTGTAGGGTATAGGTCAATGCTAGTTATATGTTGCTGCAAGTTTTCTGAGAAAAATTTTGGTAATTAAAATACTATAAATGGAATTATCATAGATTTTAATGTCAATATTGTTATTCTGAATAATTCAATTAACAACTAGTCATTCTTTGTAATACTGGTAGATTTTTAAAGCAATTTTTGATAAAATATTTTCATATTTAATCAGATCTGGTGCCTTTAAGTATGTTACAATCCTTCTTGCAATGAACTTTGTTCACCATTTAAACTTTCAGATATTAACATAAACTTAAAAACTTTTGTGTACATATTAAACCAAGTGCTATAAATAATTCATTCTGTAAATAAACAAGTTCATTCAAATTACTTAATACATTGGATTTCATTAGTTCAGAATACATATCTATACAGATTGTGAGGTCCCAAAAAATGGGTTGAAATTAAACATTTATTATTAGAAATTTATTAAAACGAAACTAGATAAAAAATTGTCCATTGTTAAAAATGATCAAAAAAACCAATCAAAGATCAGATTAGTTGTACTAATCATATGAAACCAAGACAAGAAAAAAAAATACTATTGATGTAAACAGAACGCAATAATTATAAATGATTAATAATTGTAAACGAACGTCCTCCAGTAGAGATGGATCTTTGACAAGGCACTCATATACAAAAAATTAGAACATAGAAATTTTGGAAAGGGGAAAGGTTAATAATGAAAAGGGACATCACGTCAGGTCGTTAAATTTCAAAACACCACAGACTAGACAACAGTGGGGAGAAAATATGAGTGCAAGTTCTAAAGTTCCATCAGCACTCTCTATCCAGAGTTAACGGCTGGTGTCAAGTAGATTCTTAGAAGCGGATCTTTCTCGTGACTTGAACAGGGATCGTCTTTTGCTTAAGGACAGTCGAGGGACCAATCAGGGAGTGGGAAAAAGGGACGCAGAGCCAATCAGAATAAACAAATCTGAAAATGGCGATTGATATAATCCCCGATCTTCAAGGACAGACTCACTTTCTGTAAACTGTGCAACTGTATACCTGAACTCGGTTAGTCAGAAACTCAAATAGTGAATTTCTGAATCACGCCGTGTGTCAATGCACAAAAGAACATTTTTCCTGTCTTTTCTGAGGGCCGTGTCGCCACCCAACTGTCTCCCCACCAGCCTTAAGAACTGATTAACACCACTTTGGCCACCATCGATCGACAAACCACAAAACAACATTGACACTCAGGACTTCTGAATAGCCGATTGTGTTTAAGAATATTTTTGTTTCATAGTGTAAGTTATTTTATGTTTAAAATAAACAGGTTTTTGTGAGATTCTTGTCATCTGTGTCTCCTTCAACACACCCACACGTGAATGACCCTAGATCATCCTGACACGGGATTAGCGATCCTCCCCTAAAAGTCGGCAAACTTACACTGGTGCTGAGAAGTGGGACTTTAAGTCCCCAATCTCCAACAGGTCAGCAAACTTACAAAATCTTGCTACTGCTTGACAACACACTGCAATGAAGTTCATTCAGAAAGAACTTTGAGGAAAATTTTCTGGAATTTCTGTTTATTTCTTAAGTCATACATGTTGCTTATAGAAGGCAAATTACCTTTAGCAGTTCATATTAATGTCTGAAAAATGGCAAGAGGTAAGGTAGTATTGGAACCAATCAGGAAAATTATTATCCAGAAGTATAAAGAAGGAATCTCTCAATGCAGTTTTGCATGGAATGTACAGTTATCTCAATCTACAGTCCAGGAAATCAAAATGTTTTTGAGAAAAGAGAAACACTTGTCCAGCAAAAACTTTAGGAAGAAAAACTACCACTCAGTTCTAGACAACTATGGTCCTTTCAGCACTATATTTCACAAAACAGGCAAGTTTCATAGATGATTTGACAAAGTAGACAAGGGAATACTTTAATATCCCATTATCTGAATGCACACAGTGTGGAGATATATTCAATGATGCAAATACAGATTGTATAAATCCAAAGGAAACCTCTTAAATGAATCATGCAAGTACAGACATTTAGCTTGGTCAGAACTAATCAGAAGTGGACAAACATTGGTTAGAAGAAAATACTAAAATCAGATGAATCAACATTTCATGTAAACAATGGAAATATAGACAAGAAAATTATTTGTATTAAAGATGAAGCTAATAATCCAGCACATTATTAAAGACAAGTCCAGAAGCGACAGTCTCTAATCTCCAACTCCTCCTGCACTCATGCATCCTTTGGGGATGCATGAGTGCAGGAGGAGTTGGAGATTTGCATTTCTATGATGCTGTGAACTCTGAAGCTTATATTCTAATTCTTCATCAACATCTACATGAATCAAAATGTAAACTTTTCCAAAGATGAGCCTGTATTTTCCAGCATGACAACATCTGTCTGCACAATGCTAGGAAAACCAAAGCCTGGCTGCAGTCTAATCATATAAATGCATTCCCCTGGACCTCTCCCTGATAGAAAATGTATGATATTTTTTAAAAGAAAGATGTTTTAACACTGTCCTCATGTGTTAGAACAATTACATATGTATCTAAGAAAAGAATGGGAAAAAATTCCCATGCAGTTGATGCATAAGTTTGTATCTTCCATGCCTCAACACTTTGTAACTCTTAAGTGAAAAGGTGATGCAATTCCACGGTGATTATTAGTCATGAAATGATTAAAATCTTGTCACAATTTCCAACTCTTATTATAAAATGCGGAAGAATAGTTTTTAAAATTAACATTAACAATTAAATATTAGTTTAATAGAAACTTTCATGTCGATAAAGCAGAATGTATGCAACAGCCAATATACAAGATGACGCCTGTCATGGTGGACTTTTCTTTCGTGTAGTCAGTGACAAGAGATTACACTCAGTCAGTTCTGTCCCCATTTTAGGGAAGATATGGTGACTTTAAAATTGCCATCCAGTCAGTATTAAGCCAGTTTGACTGGCAATCTATTTATATAAATATTAAAAACAAAATGTTCCATCACCACTGCACACAAATAACATAACTTTTAAAATTAATTTAATTTACAATTTGAAAATTTCAAAATAACTTTTAAATGGTTTTTAAAAGCATTGTTTTAATTTTTGATTGATTTGATTTGATTTTTACTTTTGCTTTCAGTGTAAAGATCAGAGTTTTAATTATTATTTTTAATAATTTCTATTTATTTAATTTTTGCTGGCATTTTTTGAATTCTTAATTANCTCATCTGATTCCTATTTAAGTCAATGTAGAATTCTCTTGGTAATTAGAAATTGAGTGTGCTGCCTCCTATTTATTTGAATCAAGAGCACCTGTTAGTAGATTGTCATCATCTTCCCATTTTAAAATTTAAAAAAATTTCAACTCAATGCACAATTAGGATGGTTTATAGTTGCCCTGTGGCACTTGTCCATCATGGCTTCTCTTGGGCAATACAGAAGCTTAAACTTGGAAACTCAAGTGTCCATTATTAAGAAGGTTGAGTCTGATGGAATAAAATCCATCGGGCTCAACCTGTAAAAAATGTTTTTTGTTCTGTAGCATCCAGAAATGGCCTCATTTTAATTTGAACTGTTAAGGCATACCTCTCAGTTCAAATTAATGAAAGTCTACTATATTGTTATTCATTATTATTTTTACTTTATTCCATGTAGAGCTAAAACATGATAAAATATCAGGAAAAAATATGCCAGTAGAGGAAACCAGTTAAAAATGATGACAAAGAAAAAAACAAGATGAAAAATTTCAGAATCATTCTATTAATTATAAGCCTAACACATTCTGTTTTTTTTTACATCAATGAACTTAATGAACTAATAATTTATCATCATTTTATTTTACAATATTTTCCTGTTGACTTTGAATTTTATATATTATTTAGAAATATTAATTTAAAAATAATTTTATATAATATTTTTCATGTTAGCATGTTTACTTATAATGATAAAACAACTCTCTCATTGTAATTATGGAAAGTTTTTGTTATGATTCACAGATAATGCTTTAATAATACATTAAATTTTCAAATGTGATATGTGCATTCTGAGTAAAAATACTTGTTCATGCTAAGTTTAAAGCCATTTCGAGTTTTAAAAATTGATTTTTCAAGATGAGTCAGTCTAGATGTTTGTGGCTCAAGTGAATGAATTCAAAAATTGGTTAACTCGTAACAATATTTGTTTGGCTCGTTGCATCATTTGGCAAATTTCATTTAGTATTAAATATGATGGAGTTAAATCATTTACAAGACATGCCCATTGCAAAGAGTATGAAAAAAGCATATCTTCTCATTTACTGTTCCCTTCCCTGATCATTGCATCAGTCAACAAAGCAGTTTCCAAAGATGGCAACTCTATATGACATGATGGCATAGTTCATTGAGTAAAAGGAAATTGGCTGTGATTTCTTGGGGAATAGCATTGCAATATTAACTTCATCTGAAATAAGATTACAAATTTATTTTGTAGTATACAATAAAAGCATGCATATCCACATATAAAATGGAGAATTTTCATGTTTCTTTCAAAAAATTGATTCTGGATTTTCCAATTGTTTTCCATTTTTAAAGCTTGATGTTTGTTAATTAATGTACTGTGCTTGTAATGTAAATCATTAATTTTTCTAAACTAAAATAAACATTAGAAAGTACTTTAAAAAATTGGAATTGGGAGAAATTTTGGTATCATCCCATCACTAGTGATTATAAAATCTTGACATATTGCAACATGTTAAGATCATAAATGAAATATTTAATAGGAACACATTTTCCTGAAATCTGAGCTCCTGATCTGTTTGTATGAACACTTGTCTTTATTATAAATTACTTTTTGTTACAAAAATAAACATCTGCATTGTACTAAGAATTATTTTAAGTTTTTATAGATGAACGAAATTCATTGGAGTTGTATATTAAATTACATTTAATATTACATTCCAATAATATTAAAAATTTTTTTATAAAAAAATTATAAATTATTACCCAATCACTTCTTTCTCCACAGTTTCATTCTCAGCTGGATCAGGTATTGTGACAGTAACTTTTCCATCCTGGTAATCGTCTACAAGTACTTCACGAAAATTTGATTCATTTCCATTAGCTATGGTAACTGCGTTTGGTTTTGAAGCCTTATTTTGAGAATTAATATCCAAATAAGCTGAATTTGATGTCCCCAGGGAGTCCTCACTGTCCATTTCTTCATTATTAAATTTTTGATAGTGTTTTTTACTTTCCATTTATCTAAAAAAATTTTAAGATTAGTATTAATAAAAATAACTTTTAATGTTATTTACATTACGGATTAATCAAAAATTAGTAGTATTAATGATTTTCAAGGAATAGTATTCAATGCAGAAGCATCATAATATATATTAACTTTATGTACTGTACAGTACAGTACTATAGATATATGTGCATGCATTTAGAAAATAAAATTGTGATTATATAAATATGCATAATTAAAATCAAAATATAGTATTTATAAATAATAATGTTATCCAGTAATAATTTATTTTGGTTTAAATTATGATTTAAATTATAGGAATTAATTTTAGTTTAAAATTTGTAAATTAAATAACTGGCATTCAGGAATTCTATTAAGATTATATAAGAAAATTAACTTGGTTGAAACTTGTTCAGGATCACATTCATTCATATTTTAAAATTTGAATAATATAATTAAGATGTTTTATGTAATGTATGAAATTCATACACTGAGACTCACCTACACCAATGACAATTGATTGATAATATTAAGCAGGGTAACTACAATTAGTAGAAATTCTGGTTTTATTGACTAACAGCAAAGAATTTTTAAAACAATTGAAAAATGTATAACTGGAAGATTCATTACTGTATTTACTTGAATGCAAGATGCACATTATAGTTAAATAAAATTTCTAATTATTTATGAATTTGTTAGAATTTCTTACAAATTAATGACTATTACAGTAGACTCTTGTTAACTCAAACTTATAATTATATAATTTACATTTATTCTTAATTAGAACTGGATGCTAGTNACATAATTAAAAAGAAAAGTTAAATAAAAAATAAATACAGTGATATATAGAAAAATGGTAAACAAAACTATAAAACTTCAAATAATGCCCTCCAAGGATGTAACATGACTCCAGAATCTTTAAAGTTAATTGCAGTCCCTTTCTTATTAGCCTTTCCATTCTAGACCCTAAAGATGATCATTATACATAGTTGAAAATATTTGTCCATTAATAAGCATTCTATTTTTATGGATTTATGGGTTTTTTTTAATATTAATTTTAATTAATACATCCAGGTTTTGGAATTTTTCAATCTAAGAAATAGTTTAACAAAATGCTCATTTACATTTAAACTAAATTCAAAATTCTTCACAAAGTGGATGTGTAAATGAATAAAATACTACAGAAAACCTTAATTTAAGACCAGTTAACATGTAATAGTTTTAGAGTTTATATTGTTACACCCTCAATCAAATTACAATTGTGCTTTTAAGGGATTGGTTATTAAATATCAAGGATCCTACACAACACTACCAAATTTTAGAACTAGCACACCTTTTATGTTAATCCTTGTTTTTCAATATACAATACCACCACATCTACAAAAATGGGGAATACCTATGGGTAGCTCCTTATCAGGATGTGCTCCCTATGGGATATATGTGAAATGATTATACACTTCTTAGAGTGTAAGGTAATTTACAAGAGATACATTGATGTTATTTTTATTCTTGGAAGTCAAAAACCTGACATTGATAATTTTTTATATTGCATGAATGGTAATCAATAATCAATAAAGAACTATCCTTTAAGCTAGAACAACTGAGAAAGATATGCACCCAATTTTTTAGACACATGTAATTTTTTTAAATGGCCACATTGAAACAAACATTTACTACAAGCCTGATTATTATCCATTATTTATCCCTATGAACTCAAGTAATTCTTACATGTACAAAATAGCTGTAATCAAAGCTCTTACAAAAAGGGCATTTACCCATTGTACTGATAAAATTAACTTAATAGAAGAGTTACAATATATTGAGACCATGGCAGCTGCATATGTATTAGTGATGTGCTGGATATCTGAGGGGGAAAAAAAGATCCATATCCATATCCATTACTTTTTAGCAGATCTTTAACGGATCTTTTATCTTAATGAATTTCATTACTTATATGAAATTTTGAAGATAGGTAGCAATAAAATACTAATAACTTCAATTAAAATCACTTTTTATTTCTTAAAATCACATATTTGACACATTCATATTGCAAAAATTTTATCATGCAAAATTCATTTACTATCTTAAAATATTTCCATATTACACTACTAAACTTTTTTGTCGACATTGTTTTTATTTTAATTTAACTCAACATTCTCCAAAAATACAAATGTAATCTATGCTATCCCGTGTCACACTAAACTATAAACAAAAACACGTGCAGTGCAAGTCAAAACATGTTACGTTACTAATGCAAAGCATCAACTATCCGTCCAAGGTCATGCGCACTGGCGGCGACTGAGTACGAAAGTTGAGATCCGTATCCGCAGATTTAGACACTAATGATCCGTATCCGCAGATTTAGACACTAATGATCCGTATCCACAGATATACATTTTTAACGATCCGGCACATAACTAATATGTATATTGTAAAGAATTAATCCAAAAACAGGTTTGAGTAAAGACAGTAACACACACAAATAACCTAAACCACATACTAATTGGTTAGACCATAAAATGCAGGTGTTATACAAAGAAATAGCAAGAAACACGATAATAAGATAGCATATAGATCAGGGGTGGCCAACACGAGGCCCGCGGGCCGCATGCGGCCCACAGAGCTAGGTCAAATGAACATAAACGTTAACTTTATTGTACATATCACCAAAAGAACATTACGTCATGAGTTTATTCGTATCATGTATTTTTAAATTATAGCTAAGAGAAATTTAAAATATCCTTCATTTTTGGAAAAATTCATAGATTTTTAGCTATTTCAAATATCTTGCTATTTGACACTCAAGGTTATTTAGTTTTTTGTCCGACGCTAGGTGTTGATAAAATTTAATATGAGACTTCAACTTCAGCTATATATGTTCTGTGGTCTTCGGCGTTTTCGGAAAGCTCATAATACTATCGGGCTCATAGTCATAACTACTTTCAGTCCAGTTTAACAAAGTTTCGTGTTATTCTGTAGTTTCGTTTTATTATCGCCAATGCATCTGGAGAGATTTTGCAATCGACATTAAAATACATATTTAACATATTTATAATTACAGTTCAAACTATTTTAACCAAGTAGCCTGTCTACTATATCGATTCTATAAGTAAGTAAACCCTGAAACGTTGGAAAAATTTCATTAAGTTGGTTTGGAAGAGTTCTATGAAACGTATTTGGACAAGGATAAATATCCTGCGTTTTACAAACATGCTCTGTCGAAGGTTTCGCTATTTGGAAACACTTGTGTGTGAACAGCTTTTTAGTCACATGAAGTACATCAAATCACAAGTGAGATCACGAATTACTGATGTTCATTTGGAAAACTGTTTGCGTGTAGAGACAACATAAGTGGAGATCAATTTTGATGCACTTAGTTCTGTAAAACAAAGTCAGATGTCTCACTTTTAAATATTTTTAAACTGTCTTATAAATATGTTTGATTCTCAGTTATGTTTTATTTTCTTCAAAAAAATAAATATACTGGTAGGCCTCCTACAACACGGTAGATACGTTCCTTGAAAATACCGTGTTGTGGAAAATCGCGTTATAGGAGACACCAACTTAATACAAAAACTGGAATTCAGTCCTAAAAAGAGAAAAACTTGCCGTTTGAATGGCGTTTTTTGAATTTTTCAAACCAGCCATTGCTAGCCATGAATTTAACACTGGTTTCATCAGCCGACAACTGTCCCATTTGTTTTAAATAATCAAATATTTTTAAGGCTTTGTGGTTTAACTGCACTTTTATTTAAAGGCAACCATTTCTTGTTCATATCTTCTACCCATAATATTAGCGCTTGTTCCATTTTTGTCTTTTTTTTTTCATTATAGGTGCTGTCAGACGAGCAACATTTTTCACAAGAATAGATGATCTGGATGTGACTGAATTCCTAATCTTTTCTTCCTATTGCTTAATCGACCGAATAGTTGACTCATTTAAATTAAAATGCCTACCGATATCAGCTATCCGTCTTGATTTTTAATTCGATCCAAAATTTCTATCTTTGATTGAAGAGATATATTAATAAATTTCCTTTCTAACGACGGTGCTTTCTTTTCATTAGACATTGTTATGGCTAAAATTTTTTAAAGCAGTTTTGTGGACAGTAAAAATTGCAAAAAATAACTTCCCTTCACTATGTTGTTAAAAATATACACCCAATAGAAGTTTATACTGTATTTTGGACCATTTTTGCGGTCCCCATCTATTGAAAGAGTATAAATTATCGAAAATTCAGTGATATATTTGAGTGTTTATGGTAACTGATGCACATCTGTCTGGAAACCGATCTTTCCCTGAAACTTTCATGGGAATAACACGTCAACGTGGACAAACAGCTGTTTTCAAGGACATTTAGCTCTGTACACCGAACTGTGGCGCGTATTAAGTGATCTGTTGAGATTTTTCTGTTATGTGAAAGATACTTCATTTCTAAATACCATAAACTGCGTTGTAAGAAAAATTCCGCATTTTTCCAACCGCGTTGGAGCGAAAACGCGTTGTAAAGGTACCGCGTTGTAGGAGGCCTATCTGTACCTATTTTTTGTGTCTTTTTACATTAAACCAGGCAAGTGTTTGACCATGATGTCACCTGCTGGAAAGTGACAATGTGGTTGAAGCTGTAGCAAGCTTTCTTGTTTACTTTAATTTAAAAAAAAAAATTAGGTGCGTGGCACGGCAGGAAATATTATTTATGAAATTTGGCCCACCTTCTGAAAAGGTTGGCCACCCCTGATATAGATGTACCTTGTACATATATAAATTGGTCCATAATTGCAAGGACCCCCATAAACACCGATAGAGCACCTGGAGAATATAGTATTCTAATACATGATAATAAGGTTTCAATGGGATTTAGTTTATACTGAATCAACCAAATGATTAGCCGAGCACAAGTACGAAACAAAAAATAAAATGATTTACTGCTTTGTTCAACTATTTCCATGAATGATGTAGAAGCAAACTTACACCAAGCCAGCATCATAAGACATACTCTCCATACAGATCAATAGA